GTGACAGACCTGGATGCCACAAACCTAAAAGCATACCTGCCGAGCGCTAGTCAAACGGACGGAATGTTAAAAGAAGTGGCTATGGTTGAAAGTTTCAAAGCAACGTTTGAGAATCAATCACCAAACTCACCGCTCAAGAGCAGCGTGAACACAATAATAAAGGTAGCACCAAAGTGCATGATCCAGCCTACCATCAATAAAGGAAGACGGGATAGAGAAATTGCTTTTTCACTGAAATGTCCCTTTGCACGTTCGTCCAGGGAGTCCTTGAGTCCCCTGGCATAACCCCAAAAGAGAAGGTCAAGCAGGACCTTTGGGCATTCCAAAATTTACTAAGTGACACTCAGGAAGCCGGTGAAATGATTGAGATACAAATGATCTCCCGTTTGGGGCCTGTGGTTAGGGGCAATGCAGGGGAATTGCGACCAAGCTCATTGAAAGTCGTCTTGGGAAGCAAGCAACAGGCAGATTCAATCTTGTCTTGAAAATCTAAGCTATGAAACAACAGCCAGATTACTCTCCCATCGATCGGATTAAAAGGCGAACACTGATAGCTGAAAAGGCGTCAGAGCGAGGGAGAGGAAAACGCTGAGGAGTGTAGGCGACAAAATCATAAACACGGAACACCAGTGTCCATGACACCATGCTGTGAAACTGACGGTTACCACGCCAGTCTTCAGTTCCATCGAACACCTGCAAAGTTGGAGACAGACAGTGAACCGGATATGTCGTGAAAAATGTACAACAGTAATTTTCGGGCTTAAAAACCAACAAACAATTTCCAGCGACCGAAAGAACTAAAAAATGACAACGTTGTACATCAATGGTGGTTAAGCAGCAAGAAATTGTGATCAAAGAAAGAGTTATTTAAATGCATAATTTACTCTCCAGTAACATTAATGGGGGACTTAGGAAGTGGGGTAGGCCACGGCCCTTCCTTGTGGTAAATCAGCGCATTCTCCAGCACAATTATTCAGAAGACGATATCATGATGCACTGTGATTTTCGCATTAAACTACTTTCAGCTTTCAGCTACCTATTAAGGGGGGTAGGCTTTAATGGAATCCACTTAACGGGGATTTACGGTTTTGATTTCCTCTGTGAGACTGCAATTGGCATGTGACATGTGTTGGGCAGCGATTTCAGCTATTTTACTTACTCCGCCCAGTGTCATCTTCAGCCGACCTCACTAGGATACATATTAAAGGAAAGAGAGAGTGAGGTCGTCCAAGTTCAGAATCAAGTCTTTCTCCCGTCGTACAAAACTGATGGCACACTTAACGTTTTCCGGAATATAAATTCAATTGTCAGAGCGCCATGAAGACTTCTGACTTATGCCCATGCAACTAAGGCGATCCGTCTATTCGAGCTCTACTTTTAGGATTTTTTAGTGCATAAAGGCAATCGTCTGTGAGTTGTCATTCGTAAAGTAGCGAAATATGCGTTCTGCAACTGCCGATACCCTTCTTCTAGGCTCCCTTTTTCTTATAAAATACTCTTCCCGGTCGTGTTTGCTGGGATCTGCCAGTAAAGTATTGTTAGTAGCTATTTCCCCTAACTTGAATACGCAGGGATAGGGCCTCTAGAGTGATATATTGTTGCACGCATTTCTGCTATCTTTACATGCATTCGATGTTTTCCGACCTTTGTCAGTCTTGCTGTACAGATCGATTTAGGATCATGTTCTTTTGTTGTCTGCGGACAGACACGATGGATATCGTGGTGCAGACTCGTTTTTCGATGCAATACAAATGACAAATATGTACAAATGCATTGTAATGAGCGTCTGTGACCCAAAATGGCTTTTTTCGCTAGACTCGTATGTGCGCATTCAATATGGATCAATACTCAAAGACTACAATAAAGACAACCAAATATTTCTTGGGCTGCTTCGGAAAACCAAAGAAAACTGCTTTATCTAAGATCAGCTTCCTCCGTATTTGTTTTGAAAATTTTGCCGGCTGCCATAGGAGGAGCTAAATACGACACGAGAATTCTGCAGAAAGCTGTGATATTTGCAAGACGGCCGAAGTGCTATCGCAGTCAGGGAAGGTCAGTTAATAAGGTTCTCCTGGACGGAAAAGTTGTGTTAATTAAGATAATGGCATCGCAGTATTTATGGTCTCGTTTTTAACGTTGCTTTGGTCGTTTCAATAGTATCTCTATTTCCGCTGGTCCGGATGCTTGTTTGGAGCTAATAAAACTGCTCTCGTCATGCAGAAGAACGCTTTTAGAACTCGATTTGGAACATCTTCATTAATAGTTTGGCCATCACAAGCGGCCGGGGTGCCTGCAGTCCTGGATGTTAATCCGTCTCTAAATGAAGCGGCTAAAAGTGAATGTCGACATAGTAGTTGCCTGAGACCGACACCAAGTTAATTGATGTCGCGCACGTGCTCGATTGCTCGACCGTCGGAACCGATGATGTCCACCGCATGAACCATAACAAGGTGAAACAGGTGCGGCGACTTGCGCGTGAATTAATCTATAGTGAGGATAGGCTTGCGCAACATCTACCGCACTCTCTCATTCTCCTCCACCTGGGTCCGGTGTCGAGACATAGTCAAGAAGACCGGAGGCGGGAGAGGGAGTAGATGGCTGGCACGGCCGGACACCCATCAAGGCGTATCACTACATCCCTTCGTCCACAACAAACACTTGGCGAGGATTTTAACCAACAAAACACAATAACGGGTTAGAAATAGGAAGATGGCTGGACAACCTTGCACACGACCTTCATACCCAGTGGGAACGCAAGCGCATCTACCGACAGTGAACCAGGTGCCGAAGAACTGTCAGCGCACACCAGTCTGCAAGAGCCCTGGTTTGCTGATCAGGCATACCAGACACACGGATTCCTTAGTGCCCTAGGGGGTGGCACGCAACTCTTCGCTTAGCCTGGGCCATCACCCTAAAAAGGCTGAGTAACTAGTCAGCCATCGACTGAGAGGCACGATCTGTAAAGTGCACGCGCACTCCTCACATGTGGGAGAGCGCCAGAGGTCACTTTAAGGAGCCGTGACAGCCAGACTCTCACCCCATCAGTCCGCCACTTCAGACATGCACGGGAAAGTTCGACTGTCGCATCCGACGATATCCACCGTGTGTCCCACAACAAGGTGAAGCAGGCACAATGATTTGCGCGTGAACTCATTTATAGTGATGTAGACTTGTGCTGTATCTACCGCACTCCCTCCTCCTCCCCCACCTGAACCCTGTGTCAGGTCAGGAAACGGTGGAGGGTGTAGATGGATGGTACAGTCGACTCCGTACCTTGGCACTCCACTCCACACCCCCTGGTCCACACAACAAATGACCAGGTTCTTAACCAACATTAAAGAAAATGGAGGCTGGCGCGGCCGAAGCCGCACCTGGGCGTGCTGCCTACACCCGGCTCGGATCCCACTCAGTTGGAGTGTCATAAAGGCCATATTAAGAAGGATGCATTGCAGTTTGATTCTCGGACCACCAGCCAGCCACTCCACACAAACACACAACACTTGGCCGACTGTGAGTTCCAAGTTATCCCGTCAGTTGGCAACCTTCCAAGCCACTGCTTTTAGCTCACCGTGATGGCTTCAAACGCGTCAGATTGTTTATAATGAGGAAAGTGCGCTGAGCCGTCGACCTCACTCTCCCCATTCCCACACCCCAATCACTGTCCGAGCCAGTCAGTTGACAGATACAGGGAATGGGTTGGCATGTCTGGTGACCTTGCCTGAGCGCGCCACATGCACGATCTGGCCCCCCAAACACAAGCACCAGGACTTCACACAACGGGGGTTGAGCGGCAGGAGCCATTTCAGCCTGGCGCTTAGCCCACCAGTCTGCCACTCCATACAAACATTCAAACAACTGGGCAGACTGGATAGATTGAGTTGAAAGGTGCGTCAGCAGCCTTCCAAGCCACGGAGTTTGACGCGCCGTGGTAACCTCAGACTCGAATCAAAAAGGCAGCAAAGAAGCAGTATGGACACGGAGTCGAAACGCACACTTCCCACTTGCGTGGGAGCTGTCGATTGGTTGCTTATGGTGACTGATGATGTTGTGTGATGCAGGTGTTGGTGGGGGAAGATGGGATGGTGTGGCGTAGCCGACGGTTGTTTACCGCCGAATTTCGTGTATGCGCATGTGCACATAGGTCCATGCAGCGAGTGAACGTGCGGGAGCAGAGTTGACAGTGGAGGCGAATTCGGTGGGTGTAGGTTGGTGCTTTAGGCACTGGTTCGCCAGTCTCTGTGAGATGGATTCGCAAGTGACCGGCCAGGCCGATGTGAAGGGTGAAGGTGCGGCCGCAATGAGGACAGGTATGGCTCGAGTCCACATCGCCGGCGTTGACGGTGGGGAGGTTTACGTATGTTGGTGTGTACAGTGGTGGTGGTGGGTGCAGAAGCCGCTGTAGCGGATATTGATGCAATGAAAGAGGAGGAGTAGGAAGAGTAGGAGGAGGAGGAGGAGGAGCAGGAGGAGGAGGAGCAGGAGGAGGAGCAGGAGCAGGATTTAAGTGGAAGTTCATGCGGTCAGTGGAGTGAAGAATGAGACAGAGTTGGGCGAGGAGACAGCAGCTGGCGTATTCCGGGTAATACTGTTGGGATGAGCATGTCCGCGCCGATCTCCACTGCTCTCCTCCAGGTCGGTCGGTCGCGGACGAGGTCTTCTCAGTTGGCCGGGTTGATTTTTGCGCTCTTCATGGAGGTCTTTAGAGTATTCTCATAGCGCCAGACTTCACCTCCTAGTTGGCAGGAACTCCTGGTGACATCTCCATAGAAGACTCGTTTGGGTAACCGCTCGCCGTCCTTTCTGCTCGAGGTGGTAGCTCCAGCGCAGTTCCAGTCTTAGCATGGCGGGGACGTAGGGGATTTCCGTCCGTTACAATACGGCCGTTTCCGGGATCGGGTCCCACCACCACAGCTTTAGCATCCCTCGGAGACGGCTGAGCTGGAAGTGGTTGAGTCTTCGTGTTTGCTTTTTGTACACCGTCAGGGTGTCCACTCCACTTTTCACAGTCCTTCGCGATTCACCGTATCCAAGGCTTTCCTCAGATCCACGAAGGTAGAGTACAGGTTGGTTCGCATCTCGTGACATTTCTCCTGCCGTTGACGGGCGGCGAAGATCATGTCCGTGGTCCCACGATGACGGCGGAAGCCGCACTGGCTTTCCGGCAGGATACCCTGTTCCAGATGGTTGTTCATGCGATTGAGAAGGATGCGAGCGAAGATTTTCCCAGCGATGTTCATCAAGAAAATGCCTTGGTGGCTGTCGTAGAGCTGGCGATTACCTTTCCGCTTGTAGAGGTGTACGATTGTGGCATCTTTGAAATCCTGCGGGACTTGTCCTTGGTGTCACAGCTCCTGAAAGAGCGCCGTCAGATGATCCATGAGTTGGAGGCCACCGTGCTTGTAGATCTCAGTAGGGGGTCGCGTCCGATCTGGGCGCTTTCCTGCTGGAGAGCTGCTGCACGTTTTTGATGGTTTCGTGGAGAGAGGACGGGAGGTCGAGGTAGGCGTTGGTCTCCACTTGAGGCGGACGGGTGACGGCGGCGGCGGCGTCGGAGATGGTGGGCGGACGGTTGAGGACGCCTCTGAAGTGTCTGGCACATCATTGTAGAATTTGCGCCTTCTCGGTGAGTAGGGTACTCACGTCGGCGCTGAGAAGAGATGCAATTGCTTTGGTTGGCGGACCCTAGACAGCTTTGATCACGGAGAAGAAGTTCTTCTATTCGTTGCGGTCCGCGTACTTTTGGATCTCCTCGGCCTTACGAGTCGTCCAGGAGTCCTGCATCTCGCGCAGCCGCTGCTGTACAAGGCGACGACTACGGTAGAAAACAGTTTTGTTGTCATTGGCGGTGCGGTCGACGTAGGCTCTGTGCAGACGGTTCTCGGCGAGGAGGTTGCCGATGGCGGCGTCGTTGTCATCGAACCAGTCCTGATGCTGGCAACGTGCGCGACCGAGGACAGTCAGGGCGGTTGACTGGGTCATGTCCCTCAGTTGAGACCATCGCTTTTCCACGGAGGTATTCTCCTCGTCAGCGGCGACTGCAACTGGAACGCTGGCTAGCCGTCGAGCTAGTTCATTGCTGAAATGGAGCTGATGAGCAGGCAACGACAACAAAGCAATGTTTAGCATACCTGTAGGTCGCTTACCTTCAGGTCTCCTGCAAGGCTGTAGACGAATCCACATCTTGGAGATGACGAGACGATAGCCGGTCCACACGTCAGTACCCGGAATCGCCTTTGTCACCAGAACGTCCCGCTGGCCGTCTTGCAACCGAGGATGCATCCAGGTGGCCTTCTCTCGCGAAGGGGGGCGGATGATGTGGGTCAGGATGAGTCGGTGTTCTGCGCAGGTTCGTAGAATGAGTAGGCCATTATCGTTGGAGCCTTCAAGACCATGAAGACCCAGCACTCCTCTCCAGGCAGCACGGTCTGTGCAGACATGGACGTTGAAGTCACCAAGGATAACCAACTTATCCACCTTCGACACAGTCGCCAGGAGAGCATGCAGGTACTCGTATAATTTGTTCCTCGTCTCGTCAGGGCTGGTCATCTGGGAGGGATGTCGACTTTGACGATGGTGGCGAATAAGCCTCCACGGAGAGACAGGCGGAGGCTTATCAGGCGATCATTGATGCCCTGTGGCAGACAGGGCAGCCGTCCCACGATGTAGTTTCGATCGGCAAAGGCGACGCCGGCGTCCCGTCACCCTGCCTTAGGGCGACCGCTCCAGAAGGTGTAGCCAGCATCCACCTCCTCCAGTTGGCCTTGTTCAGAGAACCTGGTCTCGCTGGTTGCTACGATGTCCACCTTGTAGCACGCCAATTCCCTAGTCCCTAGCGCCGTTCTCTGTCACTGCCGATTGCCCCTAGGATTGCCTAAAGGGAAACGAACATTCCGAACTGCCAGAGTGAGCCGACGCACCCTACCAGTCTGGCAAGCAAAAATCAAGGACAACAGAGCAATATTCGGCTTCCCTGAGGATCACTTACCTTTTCGCCTCCAGCGGGGTCGCAGATGAAGTTTCATCTGGGAAGTGGCGATGCGGTGATCCGCGTGACATTCGACCGAGGGGTGAAAGAGTAGAGTAGGATAGGGGGTAGTGAGAGGGGTAGAGGAGAAGGGCAGGAATAGGTGCGAAAGAGGAGTGAGGGGGTGGTCTTACAGTCACTGGGTCAGTAGCATAATGAGTGCTTGTGGCCTCCTGTGTGGCTGCGGACGAAGATGCAAAAACAGAGATGGCAGAGCAACGTTCGTTTACCTGGGGGCTCACTTATCTTGTGGCCTCCCACGGCGTTGCAGATGGAGTTTCGTCTCGGAGATACCGAGGTGGTGATCCATCCGGCCAGCGGAGCCGAGTTACCGTGTGCGGAGATGTGCACACGGATACCCTCACCTGGTTTAGCCCGCGGGTCGAGGCGGTTACCGGGGTGTGGCTGCTAGGTAGAGCTTAGCTTCGGGGAGCCACCTGTTAATGTTAGTCGTAGTCTACGCCCGCAAGTGAGCGACCTACTACGACTATCACGTGGATTACAACTGGACGTCCCTACACTCCACACCTACGCACACAACTTAACAGAATGCATGAGATGAGTTGAGACATCAGTCGACAGCCTTCCAAACCGCAGCGCTTGGCGCACCGTGACAGTCTCAGACTCGGATTGCAGATCCAGCAGAGGAGCCTCATGGAGAGGGAACCGATAAGCCAAATAATGTATAAGAGTTTCAAAACGCCTTTGCTTGTTTATAGGTAGGGCTCAAGAGCTGGATCTGGGCTAGAGCGGCTTCATTCTCTCCTCCTCCTCTCGCATGCCCCAGGTCAAATAGACCGGAAATGGCTTTGAACGGAGCTACTGGCACGACTGTAGTCGTCGTCCAACACGTGTCATATGTAGGCTGGAAGGGTTGGAGGCAAAGATTGCATATGCAAGCCTTCGGAGAAAATAGAGAGTTGGAACCCCTGAAATATGGAAAGGTTGTTAATATTTGTTTCATCAGTAGGGCAGACGGACGCGGCAATTAACAGAATCTTCGGAAGGCATTGAGAAAACTCGTGTTTCTGCTAAATTTTTGCTTTAGTTCTCCAACGAGCTGTTAAAACGGAATGCCTAATGTGTAATAGAGGCATATGAACGGGCGTAAAAAGGTAATCCAAGGTTATTAGTTGAAAAAGGCTGGATTGGGTAGGACGGTGTACGACAGTCAAACTTAACCCTAACTCCAACCTTTAACTAAACCCTAACGCAAAAGCTGACCTTAAACTTAGCTCGAAATTTGATCATTTTCTTAAGCTTAGTCAGGAACATAATCCTAATATACTATGTTTATCAAAGTCAAATAAACAGGAATGCTACAGTAATATAAACATGGGACTGCATATTGCACCATTGCCGGAATAGGGATCGTAAATTTCACATTAAGGAGGGTCCACTGCCTATTGACTCGAGTTTTAAGCGACGACCGGGTTCATTTTGACTCAATTGCGAAAAACCCGTCGCCCTCAATGGGATACGAATCCACGACAGCGAGGGCAAGGTTTGACTTCAGCCAGCCTTGTAGCCACCTGGGCTACGAGGTCCCACTGGGAGCCATGAGCTTAACTACATTTGGGCCAAGTTGCTGCCCGGGAAGTGCGGTATAGATCTGGACAGATGAGAATCAGTTGGCAACCAATCAGGTGAATATGGCTGGGATAGGGCAAAAGTACCTGCCTTAACTCTCCAATCATATTCTCGGCCTGTCGTGCCAAATACGGTCTCGCGTTCTCATGCACCAGAACGATACTCTTCCTATTGATTAGCGCCGAATGGTTGAGGGCAAGAGCTTGGTTGAACTGTTCTTCTTTTTTTTAACAATAGAGGTCCACTTTTACGGTCTGACCGTGTTCCAGTACATCAAAACAAGGCATGCCCGCCATGCTCCAAGAAAAACATACCGAGACTTTTTTGGCATATGAACTGGCGTCTGATCTGTGGAAAGACGTTGGTGCTTGGGCTTGACGTTGGTGCTTGGGCTTGTTGTTAATGCGAGGAATCCATTTCTCATCTCCGTTGGCAATTCGATGAAGAGACGGTTTCCTCTCCTGTCTGTTTTGCAAAAGGTTATGGACTGTAGAATGCTGGGTTGTGCTTTCTATCAGAAGTTGTCTTGGGACCCAAATTCTTTGTCTACTAACATTCTCTATCTGTTGAATGTGCTTCTGAGCAGTAGATCATGACGAATTTCATTTTCCTGATAATTGCTCGAGGGTCTGGCGAATATCTGCCTCAACGGATGCGCCCAGATGGTCATTATCCAGCTCCACTGGTATTCCCGGACAATGGACATTGGAGAGGTCGAAATCGCGCCATCGGAATTTCGCGAACAAACCCCGGCACTTGCGGACAAACACCACAAATTATTTCGGTGAAAGTGTAACACCTAGGTTCTTTGTCTTCGATAGGCTTCGAATCATCGGTTCCTTCAAGATCCTTCACTGGACGACCATCTGAAAAAAGGTTTTCCGGTGGATTGATCATGTGGTTCGGTAAACATAATGACACCGTGTTCCAACGTTCGGTTGTCAGCAGGGAAGATACAGAGAAGAGTAAATCGAAATGCTACAATAAAAAACACGATAATGAGATAAATCAGGTATAACAAAATCCTTGATTAAGGTTGGTCAAGAGAGGTTTCCCTGGCGATATAATCTCGATCAGTTTCTGGATGAACCAAAGGGAGTGTAGAGCAGGAGGCTGCTACAGGGGGTTGGATGCGGCCTCCGACAGTTTATCCTGAAACACCCGGTCTGAAACAAACCACTTTCGTAAAACAAAAGAACAAATCTGTCCACTTCTGCCACTCGCCGATTGCGGTACGGGACACCCTCGTCCGGTTTTGCCTTAGGTCCCCATCTCGACCTCTGCCAGCAGATGTTTAGCGGTTAGTATCATATGCAGAATGACATTTCCCACAAATACAATTCCAGGGGTTGGTTCTCAGACAGAAGTGATGTAGCAAATGTCTTCCTAACATATGCTTCCCTTGCCTGACGAAGTCTGCATTTGAGGCTTCCAGTAAGTACAACACAAAGGCGCTTGAAAAAATCTTTGTAATTTTATCCTTCCGATTTAAGTAAGAAACAAAAAAGTATCATTCCCTGCATAAAAGTTTCCGCCAGTTTTGTTCACATTATTACCGTACATGCATAGATTTCGAAACAGAAACTGCCAGTGATACTAGTAACAAATAGCTTCGATGCGGTTTTCACAGATAATAGAATAGTTCTCTCCATATCATTAAAAAGCAAGATCTCATCGCGTAGCTGTATCCATTAGGGGTTAGGGATAGGGGTTGGGCTTAGAGGTCAGGGTTAGGGGTTAAGGTTATGGGTTCGGGGTTAGGGGTTAGGGGTTGGGATTAGGGGTTAGGGCTTGGAGTTAGGAGTTAGGAGTTTGGCTGGGGCTTGTTAACTGCAGGTCCGACCCGTTAAAATAATAACTCCCAGGATTGGGATAAGTTCTGACGGATGATTTTACTAGAAAGTTCCAATCTGTCAAAATACTTTAATGAATCACGATAGTCTTTGGTTCCATCATTAAAGATCAATTTAAACCGCAGATATTCATATACCAGACCAGTAACACAAGTTTAAATAAAAAATTCACCTTTTACTTTATCCCCAGCATGCGACTAATTAAGCGTTTGCCTTTCAAAAACAAATCTGTTGCCTGCATTCGGGTAGTTACAACAGTCTTCCCTAATATGTGTCGACCGTTAGCGGATAGCCTCGTACTAATGAGTAAGCATACATTTACTTTTTTAAAAAAACCAGTCAAAATAAAGAACTTCATGTCCTTGTCACTTTACTAAGACCGTGAATGCAATTCTGTTCGATGAAGGCTCGCGTGAAAATAAACAGTTACAAGAGTTAATAGAGTTTCACAGGTCGCAGTTATCCAGTTATAAAACATCACGTCGGGACATATATGTCATTTGGCTAATTTGTTTCGCAAGCTCTGCATCTTTTTCGGAAGGAGATATTGACCACATTGGTACATCGGTCAACACAACCCCTATGCCTAGGTAAAATGCAAAAAGCCTATCCTCGAAATCTTCACGAATTAAGCAAAGCTTGTGTATGAGAATGTTTAGTTTACCGAGCTTACAGTAATTGAAGTTCTTTAACATCTGACCGACCCTATTTGTTTACTTTCTTTCCGACTACCCTACAATTTTCCCAACAAAGGTATTGTCATCGCATGTCAATTTGGCGCGCATAACAGAAAGTCCGATTTCATAAAACAGTGAACACAAAGTAAGATGTGTCAACCTTAAGTGAGAATAGTCATATTTTTGTTCTTTTGTATAATCGCGGCTTGATTTTCCAAGCCATTTAAGTCGCATATCCAAATGCAAACGCAAGGCAACCTACATTACGAAGCCTACCATTTTAAACCTTTGGACTTTGTTCAATAATTTCCACACGGCGTTCTCAAGATAATGTATAAATTAAAAGTGGATACTCCGCGTCTCCCCTGAAACTGTCGAATTCCTCATGATTATCCCTCTGTTAATATTACAGTTGCGTAGGTAGGGATTATTCATAATCAAAAAGATGCCTGCATAAATTTCAGTGTGCAAGCATTTTAGTTACCAGAAGGGTTTATTTACTTAGAGAGTAGCACAGGTGCCCACAAAATGTTCTTCTATGCCTCTATAAATCGGATGAATTCTTTTCGAATTCGCATTTTTGGGTCGGTCTCCAGTACTAATTTAACTGGCTTTTCGCTGCCACGTAAAGCGCCCCCCATCTTTACAGTTTACTCAGCCAGAAAGAAAATTTCTAGTTCGCATAACTGCAAAAGACGTCAACTAGATGGGGCTGGGGTACGCGGTCCTGCTTTCTCAACATATTATCCCCTTCGTACTGTAACTGACATCAGTAGATGTTCAACATTTCTATCGTTTTTGTGCTATTATTGATTTCCGTAGGCGTAGAGCTGCTTGCGACACTTTCAAATAGAGGTACTTCGCGGACGTCCGCGGTTATTATTCACATTCACGTTATGGTTTAGGGTCAAGGTTTACGATTAGCGTTGGGGCTTAGGGACAGGTCTTAGGACTAGGACTTAGGGCCAGAGCTTATGGGTAGGGTTAAGGGTTAGGGTTTACGGTTAGGGCTGGGACCTAGGAGTAGGGTTTAGGGATGCGGCTTTGGGTTAGGATTTAGAATTAGAGCTTAGGGTTAATGCTCAATATTTAGGTTAGGGTTGTGGTTAGTTTGCACCCACTTCCTACGAATTTTATCTGTGTCTTAGGTCTGATTGGTCCCATTTATCTGCATTTCACTTTCGGTCACCTTGTCAGGTTAATCATCATTATTCCTCATGTAGTTGGTTTGTGCTGGTTACCTGCGGCGAATTTTCGTACGGTTCTCTGCTTACGCTGTGATGTAATACCCATTAAAACAAACTGAAACATTTACCTGTAATACATACGTTTTTCTCCGTTTTCTCACATTCTTCTCAGCTTCCCCGCAGCCCCACCCGTAAAAGCCCTGTTACCACGGTTTCCAAAATCGATGTGCCCGGAAGTCTCTACTTCCCTGCAGGACCGTGTTTCCAAGCCCTGTCATTAACTGCACTGGTACTTTTCCAGGACAGAACTTCAGCCAAGTATACCGTTTAATGTAGAATAAGCGCAGGCGGCTGGTTCATTTAGTGTACTGCTGCCATTAAGAATGACCTTTTTAATCAGACCGAGCCAGCTGCTGTGAGGACATGTATTCGTGAATTCCTGACGTTAACATTTGTAAAGTTCCTATGAGGTCTCCTAAAGACACTTTCTGATCAAAGAGCAAAGGTACAGTTAAAGTCATGTGAACAGTGAGTCGTAGAGCTACTAAGATAAACCCCCTTTGGATGCTAGCAGTTGGTCAAAATTATGAGGTTATGGGACCTAAATGTAGCCAGATTTATGGATTACTATAACTGTCAGAAAAATTAGGTGATTATTCCGCCCTCGGCAGGAAAAAAATTGGCCCGCATAACACGTAGTCTTGACGTCCTTTTGCTCTCATATGCGCATATCCGAGAAAAAGACCGGTCGGCCTCGCCACATAGCACACATCGACTGATACATAAAAATAAGCTCTGCATAAAAATGGATGCTTGGCAGTTCGGCTGTGCTATGGAAACAAAGCGGATACGTACACTACGCTACCTGCTCTACGCGTCCGCCATTTTGATTGGACGGCCGACAATCTCATTATGCACCAAACGAATGGCCAACAATACAGGTAGGTTGCCTGCTTTGGTATCACTCTTACTTAAAAAACAAAATTGTCTGATGCTCTCCAAGGATATCTACTGGCTGCGTTCCCTTGTTGGCGTTACTGGTTGCATTTCATGGGTGAGCTTTTTAACCTTCAGTTGGAAATACAGACTTCATGGCACAAGGTTTTCTATCATGTTTCAAAAGAAAAGTTCTCGCAGAGCTTGGTCAAGTTCGGGTCGATTTATGCCTGTGTTAATAAAAATCCAACTCAGCTCTGGGGGTATTTTAGACTGAAAATTAAGTGAGCATTAGTCCCACACTACTAATTTCTAATAGTAAATTTGGCTCTGATTAGGGTTCAAACTATTCTAGACAGCTATTTTCAATGTAATATTTTTGTACTAAATCCCATCGAAAATCTTTTTGCACTAATCAAAAGAAATTGGGACAAGGCAAGAAAACATCTTTCTATGGAACAAAAGTTGGAATTTTTTGCTTAATAATTGCATAGACCAAACCCGATTAGACAACTTGGTAGCCTCCATGCCCTCTCGCCTTACAGCAACTTTCAAAGCTAAAGGACAATCGACAAAGTACTGATACGTTGTATTTGTTACTATTTTTCATCATTTTGTCGTTTTATGACGTTCCCTGCTCTGCTGGCAGTTATTTTAGGCCTTGAATAATTGACCTGTCATAGAGTCGGTTTTTTATTTGCTAGTTTCGTAAAATAAATTATTTCTTAGACAATGAATAATACTTTATAAATCAAACTGTGTCGTATTTCGAAGCTCAGTCGTTACTTTAAAGCAGTATGACTTTAGTGAATGTGGCCAAAGGGCCGATTGGGTAGCTTTGTCTCAAAGTAGGTTACAAAAGTATCCGAAGAAGACTGGAACCTCCAAATGAGATATCAAAAATAATGTCAATCTGTGTGGCGGGTTTGACAAGTTCGAATTCGTGTATCCATTTTCAAATATGCTGATGCCCCCTCCATATCATGGCTCATCACAGGTCCTTTTTAAGATTGAAGCTTCCTCTTTCTAGTTAGGAAGATCAAGAGACAAAACCACATCCTCCACTGAGGATATTTGCAACGCTTCTTCGTGGCAGCGACAATATTCGGTCAGCAGGTTCGTTCCATAAAATGAAACTAGAAAGAAAGCATTTAGTGCTGATCCTCTGCCTTCCTGGACCCCAAATAAAAGCCCAGGAGCACTGTCAAGAAATAGTGGCACAGTTCGTCCGGGCGTCCAGCTTTTCGAAAATTCAGACATTTTCTGTATCGCCTAATCGGTTTTCTAGGCATTCTGCATGGAATTCGGTGGCAGCACAAACACGTAGTATAGCTCGACCCCTTAATTAACTTTTTTGTCCTTGAATATCCGCATCTTTTCATCTGCCATGATCAGCGTATAAGAAGGTAAAATTCTGAAGAACGGATTATATTCAGTCAAATCGTATATAACCTGTGATTCATATCAAGAAATCTCGTATAACATTAGTGTCTTCCCCAAGCACATCCACCACTTTCGAGTCTTCTTGGATTTGGGCTTTCTGTACCATTCCTATGACGTTTTGAAATATTCTTCAGCACTTTCCATAACCCTCACGATAGCTGCCAAAGGACGGTCTTCCTCTTACTTATGCGGTGCGCGACCAAGCTGCGCAATTGAGCCTACACCAGTACTGGCAATAAATCTTTAATCTTTGATCCCTGTAGAATTTACGCTTGTTCATTGGACAACGACTTCTTTAGTCTTAACAGGCTTCCTAAACGCCCAATCGCAAACATTATGTTTAAGATCGATATCCCTTAAAGTGTGTAGGCTCAATTTCTAACGTTTTTGAGTGCTATTTAATTGCTTGCACCGGCTTGGGCACCTTCCCACACATTTTCCGGACACTTTAGTCAAAGCGTGGTAAGGATCGGGTGGAGGCCCCAAGCATCTGTGGTATATAAAGAATACCTACCATGCTTATTTAAGTAGGTTTTAGTCCGATACGATTATTTCGGTTTGGTATTTCATCCTACAACGTTGGGTCGTGATCAGGGAGTGATCAGTCATGGTCACTTATTGTAAAAGACAGTAGGCGCAAAGGAAGCCGCCGTAGAGTAAAAATAAGTCCCTTACACCCTCCTGATCATGTTTTTCTTTAACAACCCACATTACTGTCAGCTTTTTGCCTGCGGATCAGTGGCCTACGCATTGGTCGTAATCGCCTCTATGGAGTATGCCGTCGTGGACCTCCTGGAGTCAACTGAATTTAAGTCAGGTATGACGAGTGCTCTCTTTTCAAAGTTCATCCTAACGCTCCCATCCATGACTCCTAAAAGGACTGCTTCTGCTTGCTCTCAGCGGTGCCGCCACAATGATCACAGGCATGATCGGTAGCTGTGGTGCCCTCCAACTCGCAAAGAGCTCACTCCTTCTGGTTAGTTCACTTTTATTCGCTCAAAATAGAGCGCCGCTTGCATTCTTGTACAAAAGTACGCGTTTCAGTTCCAGATCTTTGTAGAAATAGGGCTGAAGAGCAAGTAAATGAGATCACGGAACTATTGATTACGGCGACCATCAAAAGTCAGTCTCTACAAGCTCTCATGCTGGCTGGGTAGCGGTGACGACGTCAATGAGCCTAACCAACCTGCGCGTGGTCGCTGCAAGCACCTTCTACGTTTGCGCGTGTAAACTTGACACTGTAAACTGACTGACAAGCGTGACTCAATAAAGGCTCTACAGAAAAGATGAGTTTCTCAACAGCAATTTCTCTTGAATGACAAAATTGCTGTCTCAGTACACATCCAGTTTGTGGAATAGGACGAATGAAGCCTAATCTGTTGGTTCGGTTTGCCTTAACTGCTGGAGTTAATGCATTAATGTTTCGTGGTTAGTTTTCGCACGATGATAACTTTTATCTTAGGAAAATTATTGCTGTCAAAGATAAGAAACACTGAAATGGTCAGTTTTGGCTTACTTAACTTCATCAGTCAGCCCACTGTGATCAGAAATACTCAGTCACACAACGCTGACATGCATCAATCTATTCTGAGTGCAGAAGGGAAGTGAGCATTTGTGCTGTTCTTTGAAGCTGAAGGTCTGGCGTCTACACGGGCTGCCCAATGTCCCTTTTCCTTGTCAATATAACCTCTTAGATTGCTGTTATCTAAGTCGCTTCTCGGACGCCGGGATGGGTTGTCGAGCCTCAGTTACCCGAACAAAACGAAAATACCCTCTTTAGTCCTACAATCAGTGTACATCGATGCACTTCCATCCCAAATTTTTTCTGTGCGCTTGACAATAATCTCAGGTTGTTAACACAAACTTCACATTGTGACCTTTAGATATTCGTATTTTTTGAATATGCCCAAAGTCCTTTTTGTACGGTAACGTGAAGAATACACCATAAGGTCGACATCTGAAAGTTTGTCATTCCTGCGTACTCCCACATAGGACGAGCTTAGTAATAAAATGCGTAAACTAACGCAACACCAGACGCCAACTCAAGTAAAGTTAGGTCAGTGTTAAGCGGTCTGCATGTCTAAGCTTTTGAACTCTTCACTCCTGTTATTTTGCACAAAGTTGCCAATTTTGTACTTTCTATCCACTTCAGTATTCCTGTGTGGCAACGATTGAATGCCTCGGATTTCTTGCCGCTGGCTCGCTGGCGCTGCATAGCAGAATGGGTGTAAGTTTTATTTTTCTAGCCGGTTTCACGGGTCTCTTCCTTCTATGAGTGGATAGACGATTATAGCTTCCACATTAAATAAAGCGAATGGAATCAGGCCATCAAGCAATCGCGAACTGTTAAATGCCTTTACGCTATTGAGCTGGTCTTTCTTCTGTAATGAGAAGTGACATGTATCTTCGTTAAAGCCTCATATGCTCTCCCTCTTCCTCCTCCGAAGGCGTGAGCGGTCGGTGCACTTTTTTCTTCTTAGTCCTGTCCGATCAGCCTGCGACTGGCAAGTGGGCTGTCTGAGCAGTGGCCATCATGTTTACGTGCTCGTGTGGTTGTGCTGCATCCTACAAAGGGCCGCGCGGGAGTCACGCCGGACCAACCCGCGAGTCAGACCAACTTCCGGCACGCGTTATCAGGCTGCACACTCATAACAAATGCCATACATTGGAGTGTAGTGAGACGTCTAGGCGCAGACTTGCGTCGCGCCAGCCATCAGCACCCGATCCCACCTCTGGTCTTCTTGACTCTGTCGTAGCATTGGACCCAGGAGGGTGAGGAGGGAGTGTGATATATGCAGCGCAAGTCCACTATCACCATAAACTAGTCTACGCGTAGGTCACCGTCCTTGCACCCACCCTGCTGTGGCGCATGCGGCAAACATCGTCGATAGCCACGACCGCACTGTCCGGCCGTACTGGTGGTTCTACTGTGTGGTGCGGCATATCGCGTGTGATTGGACAGGTGTGATTATGACTAAAGTAGCTTGAATAAATCGTGGGCAAGTCTGATTATGTCTGCACCTTTGTTTTTCGCTTGCTGCCGCGCGTTTTGGAGAACAGTGCCAGTTGTGTGGCTCCAGGCCACTTGTCTGAAATCAACCGACCAACTCAGAACTAGAGGGAACCGCCTAAAACAATGCATTACGACGTCTGCCGCTGGGTTCGACGTCATGTGATTGCTGCCCGACGCTCCCGAATGACAGAGTCCAGCCTTCTTGGGGTTAGCAATGTGACTTAAGTAATTGGGTGGGTTACCTGCTACTGTATAACCAGAAAGAAGCCCTCATTCAGCTGTGAACCTCCAAAGTAAGGAGCCAAGTCTCGGCCAATGTATCTGCATTTTTCGGAAGCACCAGTCGTTAGGCGCAGCTAACGTCTGTTCGTTACTTTTCCGCGGAGGCGTTTCCTTACAACACTGGAAGCTCTGTTTTGGACTATAGTTTGCCGGGTTGAACACGACGCCCCGGATATATATGGGTTAGATGCGGTTATTTGCTGCTCCGCCGTCGTTCCTTCCCCCTCCTCAACATTGTGTGGAAGGATATGTAGCAGCCAACCGTTTGGATATTCTGGTTGTACACAAGGCGGAGGAAAAAGACAATAAGAGGCAACTGGACACCAATTCCAGGATCCTTTAGTCCCATGATCAAGGGCAGACTGAACTTTCTTGGGGATGGCTCTATTTCTCCTGCACGACCAGAGAGGTCCGATGTGAATATTTTTTCTAGGGTAAGGTGACACCATACTAACAGCACAGGTACTAGCCAAAAGCCCATACACGCGTGTTTCGCCGATGTTTTGCCGCTGCATGGCGCAGCTGCGAGGGGTTCGGCTCGTCAGTGGGTCCCCCAGCATGTCACCTTACCCTAGATTATACTACTAGCTGCCTGTAGGCAGTTAATGAATATTACGCGGTTACCCGCTGTGGCTGATGGACTTTGGCCCAAATATTCATGTATAAAATTCTCGGTCTGTGCCTATAGACCTTGAATATACTGATCTACTCCTACTTCGCACAAAATTTCTCTGGAAATTAAAAAGTGACAATATTTTTTCTACTTCAGTGTCCCTTGTAGGGGAGTTGTGAGTCTATTCCATTTTACATCTTAGGTCTATAGGACTGGTTGGAGGGATCAACTCTTCCTGTTCCGATGATGAAGTACACGCCTTCCGCACCGTACATTTGCGAATATGTTCGTATAGACTAATAGTAAGCCCTGACTAAATTAAGGAGCTTTGCACTGTAGAATATACTCCCATGACTTCAATAGCAACTTTACATAGTCCGAAATGCCGCAAATGAAACAAGAAACCGAGTTATCTATCAAATTTAATTTACTTTTCTACGACTCATAATCGTGTTGATGCCGAAGTTTTTGGTCGTCATTGTAAAAAGAAGTAGGATAGTACTGTTAAGCGGATGCAGCCAATTAAAACATCCAAAAAATCCTCTAGAATCATTGCATATCATTTCTCACTCAGGTTCTTTTTTCCCTAGGGACCGCGATTAGTGTTAGATGTTTCGTTCGGTAACAGTAGTGGAACATGATAGACGATACAGCAGAACAGCTGGAGGCGTCTTCTTGCGTGATTCACTGGTGTTCGTACCAGCGCATCAGAGCTTACTCAAGGATATGAGTAGGGGACCTGTCTTCACTTTTTCTGATGCCTGTTGACTAAGCATTTTCTTCCTGTCCCACTGACGGTAGATGATCTGAACAACTTCTAAGGCCAAGTCGCACAGTGTCCTGTGTTTGTGGCCCTCCAGGTTCTCACTGTGCCGCTCCTTGTCTGCTAGAGTTCTCATCCCCTACCTCCAGTCCCTGGGTTTTCGTAAAATGGCTAAAACGTCAACAGTGTTTGTGTAGTTCGTACTGCTTGGCTCCGTCGCTGTCTCAAGTGGCAATCGACGAGCGCACTTTCTGGGCTTTTGTCTGAATACGGTCTGTTTGTGCAGTAATTCCTTCGTAATCTGGACACCATTCAGTTGGTGTCTGTTTGAATGTCGAGGTGCACTTGTTCATCAAAACCCAGTTGGTGCCAAACTGACAAGTCGACGATCACTGCCACTTGGTGCGCAATGAAAAACTGTCGAAAACACTAAGTCACTCGTACTCTTCAGCGCGTTTCAGTTACCCAGCCTCTTTAGATCAACAAGGAAGTAGTGTACACACCTTTCGAAACTGATCACAGAACTCTTGTAGGGCATTCTGACCAGAACTAACCGCGGAGGAGTGGGCCGTAAGTCGATTAAATTGATAGCTCCCCCTTCGATGAAATTTGTGCAGGGTGGAGAGTCAACCCACTCTATATGACTTTCACTGTCATGAAAATGAGAGGCAATATGGAGGGAACTGTCAAGCATCCTTCTCTAGTAGGAGTGGTTGACTGGATCCCATTCTGGCACATAGTAGCCAGCTTAAATAGTATGCTTGTCACCAAATAAGTGAGCTCACTCTCCACTACGACGGACGGCTGGTCGCCCTGTTGCAGTTACAGAGATTGAACTTATCTATTGTATGTAGGCCCCTATCCGGAAAGGTGTACAAACTCCAGCATGCAATGCGGGTCCCCACCCATCGTCGAAAATGTAAGTTCGCAGAATTCACATCTGGTCAGCTAGTAGGGACTCAGATGTCTATGACATGATCAGTGCGGTGCGCGTTACACGCAGCCACGACTGTCAAGGAAATACAGTGTATGGGAGGCCCCAATTATCGTCAGAACCCTGAGCAGGGGTTTTGTTTAGCAAGAAGTTGCTGGATAATAATGCCTTGCCTTATTGTAAACAATACTCGCGTTGTTAGAAGAGTTTCTGTCTATGACCTTTCATAGACGCCAGACTTTTCGGGTTGATTACCACTGAAGCTTGGTCCGCAGACATTGATTTCTGTGTCTTCAAGTGCTCAGTTCACGCGGTTTAGTTGTGAGAACTCTCCACTTTCAGTCGCTAATGAACACCTGGAGAACCCGCAGTTAAAATAACAGACGATCCCTAGTCATCTTTAGCAAAAGATAGTCGATGGCCTCTGCGAATTTACTCGTCAGTCAGGGCCTTTTTGACCAAGTGCCTGCATATTTGCCGTCCAGGGTGTTCACCAGGACTCCTATTGGAAAAGAAGAACGCAAGAAGAGAGAATAAAGTTTTGTCTATCCGCTCTGTCTCCCATAACTCTCTTCGTTATCTCCAAATTTTTGCCCGAAATGTTGATATTCCCATTTCTTATTTAAATTCCTTCCTAGATGGAGAAGGATATCCACAGGAAGTTCGACCATCTGCTGGCTAATTTTGATCCTACTTCCACACCTCTAAATGCTGAAACGCAAAAACTGGACGGCATACAGGCCCTGGTAATATAACTATTATTTCGTATGCAACCAGGGATGGGAGACCGAGGATCACCCTAAATTTGAGTCTCTTTTTAGTTTCTTTCTCTTATTAGCAGGTGAAATCTTACTATCTGGTTGACTAGGTTCTGTTTCGTCCGCTTTGGCCGTCTTAATGCAGTCCTCGGCACGGTGTGCAAGGAAATTTAGTGATGAAGTCGAGAGGGCAACTTCGATCAGCCACTTCTAGACGTTGCGATTCTCCCACGCTGGGTTCATCGGTGTCGCGATAATTAAGACCATGGGCAATCTCTAACCACTCATGATCATCGGATTCGGTCACGAATAAAAACGAGAGGTGGGTGCCGGTAGAGAGACAGCATTGTATTCTGTACAGAAGGAAAGAAGAATTTATCGGAGCAAGTTGTCAGCCGCGCAAGGGCACAGACTTCGAAGTTTATGTGCGTAAGTCTTAGTTTCACCAGGCATATTGAGCAAAGGTTACTCGCCATTTCGGGGGCATTAAGCGCCGACTGACCAAATGAATACCTGTGCTGGGAAATGCAGCCTGAGTGACCGCCAATAAGAATTTCACTAAGTTAAAGGTAACTTCCTCGTTCTGTGTGGGCTTTTTAGACCAAATTCCCGTATGCATTTGGGCGAATTTTTAATTATAAGCCTCGTTAATAATGCAAAAGTACCCAGTCATGATGACGGACTGGAATTGGTGAAGAAGCCAGTCTTGACACAAGCGATAGGTCTGCGGCTAAAATACACGAACAACCTGACGATAAGGAAACCTACACTTGTCGTACGTACCAGAGGTCCAATTCGTGTACGAATACTAGCCGGTTGTTATGATTATTTGACATTGTTCACTACTTCTTAGTCGCACGTGGTTTGAGGCGGACACAAACTCGATGCACGCACCAAATTCAGCCAATGATGACAGCCCGTCCATCTCGAGCGGTGATGAATACTCTGGCAGAGGTTGGGTGATGACCTTTGCGTTGGTTCAGGTGAGAGTAATGGAGATCTTCACAGCTTCTACCACCTACCCCCTTCGAAAGGTAGGGCAAAACCAAGACTGGAGGTGATTGTAGTCTCGGTGGCTGAGAGGGGTTAATGCGCTCCAAACGTGCTGCCTCTTAAAAGGACGCAAACTAGGCTTCAAAAAGAGATCGAATTCCTCAACTCAGAGTTTCCCTAAAGGTCACTCTGCGAGCTTGTTGCTTTTAATAGGCCATATGGATTCGGTTGGATTGGAAGATCACTACTACAGTTTATACGACTGGGCAAACAAGCGCTTCGGGACACTTTGGAATACTTTGCTCGCAAACCGTATGCGAAACAATATTTTCATCAAGACACAGGAGTAGGAACCCCGAAACCCTGTTCCGCGGGTGCTGTTCTAGTTTCCAGGGAAATTAGGATCAGTGTTGAGTTAAGAGTTAGGGTTAGAGTCAAGTCTAAGGTCAGGGTTAAGGTCCGGGAAAGGATTAGTGTTAGGGTTAAAGGTAGGACACGAGAATGCTAACCCTTCCTGGAATTTTGCGCAAGGCCATTTGTGTTAACGGGAGGGGGAGGGAGGGAGAGGTTCCTACTATCGTGTCTTGCCCTATTTTCTCCCGGTATCGTCCTGCCCATGGCGTAAATGAAAGGATGTAGACGCAAGGACCAACGTATTGTGACTTCCTACATTTTTCGTGGTTCGATACCGCTAAGCATGCTGGCGGCCGCTTTTTGGCAGGAGACGCATTGGTTAATTCTGAACTCACGTACTATATCTACCCGAACATCCAACAACCCGGCTAAACTGTGGTCAGTCGGGGTAGTGATTTTGTGGGGCAGCTTGACGGAGAAATAATTTGCGGGTGTCAGTTGTTAGTCTTTCAAAACACAAATTTTACGCCACCACAAGCGCTCCATAACTTTATTGCATGCTGACAAGGATTACCGGGGAGACGCATGCGTGCCTCTCTTTGCAGCGGCTGGGGGCGTTAAGTTACTCGGACGGTGTATGAATCTCCCAAGTAGCATTCCACTAAGTGACATAATATGGGATAGGACACAGTTGGGAGGCTAACAAATATCCCTAGGAATAAGGTCAGACTATTAGATGGCCTCAATGCTAAAATGACACATTTAATTTGCAATTCATACCACTATTCGAATAGCATACTCCCAGTGGGCCGCTAATCTGACACCGCGGAGTGTGGGTGGAAATGCACCTCCTGATCTTGTGTACTCGGAAAATACCTCATCCTCAAGTAATCAAGCCTCATTTAGTCAATAGGCTGACCATCAAAAAAATACTGAAATTCGAAATTTAAGTCAATGCGCATATCATCACACAATCTTTCATTATTTTCACTACTACAGTTAAGGTGCTGTGGGAAAAACGGTAAAAAGGACTTTGACTCGGCTGCGACTCCGCACAGTTGTATTCGTATGGCATTTGCTGATCAGGTAAGATTATTTAATATAACGTGCAAAATAACCGATAATTGTCCTTTTTCCTGCGTTTTCAAGGGTTGCCTGCGAATTTCAATGAATTGGCTTACAACTGGACTTTTCCGCCAATCAGTACTTGGATTTGTGGGGGCCTTTCTGTTAGTAAGTCGACATTTGATTCCTTTGGAAACCACTCTTGACAGCTCTTTTCCCTCTTCTTTTCAGCGCTGCTTTTCTGCTCTCTTCTCGGCGTTCTAGAAAATTCAGCGATATAATGCGCCACTGAAATTCCCCAACAAACCCTAAAAGTAAAAACATTCTGATTTTACAGAATGTTGTCGCGAAATCACAATAAAAAGAAAGAAGAAAATGATGATCGTAATTAGTACTTTTTACTGGACTTACTTCTTCTTTTTGAAGCTTTCTAGCACCTGAAGGAAGTTCTAAACAAATGGGTTTCGTTAGTTGGTTTGATGACCGTAACTTTACAGGCCTACCGTGTTTTCCAGGGACTTTGCAATATCCATGGCCGTGCTCATTTTCTACAAGGGAAAAATGCAAGTGGTGTTCTCACTGTGGTTCTCAAATGACACGATTTACTAATTAACTCGAAGAGACAAGCATGTCAACATTTTAAGTGTCCTTTCTTTGACCCTAAATGCAGATGGTAGGCATGACACCGCCAGCCTAAAAGCCGGCAAAGTCATTATGAAAAGTTGAAATTGTATACGCGAAAATTGTAACGGAATTTACCGGGACTTTTATCTTCCTGAACTCTTAAGACCTGGAGGCAGTGCATAAGGAGGCCACTCTCGAGGGCTCATGAACACAGGGGGGCCGCGATAGCTATTGTTTCAGGCTAGTGCATGCTGTCTTCAGCTGAAAATACCCCTGACTAATGCGGGTTAGAGGACATTAGTGCGTACGGACAACGTACGGGACTAGTAGCGAAGCTCCAGTGAGTCCTCCACTTCGTGATGCTGTTGTTGCTGGTCAATCGGTCTGACCTCACTTAGAAGCTACTTGCGCCGTGTGGGCATGTGCCTTAGGTTGTAAAGGTTCACAGACTAGAGTAGGGAGCGCTCACGGACCACGTTACGGGAGCCGATCGCCCCGCTGTGACTTGGGCTCGATCTAGAAACCCGCATGCCGTCGCACAGTGATAGGACAACAAGCTCGTGGCTCATTTATTAGACCGTTTGACTCACTGGCCAAGGATACGGGTTTGAACCCCCAGGTGTTCCAGTCTTGGGATTGTTTATGCCTGGCTGATGACGGCTAACAAGCCATCAATGACCATTACGGTTGTAGTGGACAGCCATAATGGCAACGTCGCGCATCTCGCTAGCGCCTGCACCTACGTCTTAGCGACAGCCTGCTATGTCACGCACGTCTGCCCGGCTTCGATTTGTCTCGTTGCAATTCACTGTCTGCACCACGCATCTGATCGATTCTCTGCTCGCACCATGCGAGGCTTGTCACTACCCTCGCGTGGGCTCTGAGCTAATCAACGCACCTCCTCTCGCTGATTGGTTATACAGTCTAGACCACTGCGTAAACAACCTGTCACGACGCCTTTGCAGCGGCGACCTTCGGCGACACACGGCTCGTCGCTCTCGCGGACGCACCCTTGTCCGGTTGCCAACTTTGCCCTATCCTTCTGTACAGAATAAAATATTCTGCCCAACTGGCATCCCGCTTCTAACAACTTGGGATATGGGCTGAAGTTGTGGCGCACTGAGCGTACACCATCACCGCTTAGCCGCTACACTGTCTCCCTTTTCTTTATCAGTAATTTAAATCTGTCCATGCTACCAGTCGCTGTGCGACTTTCTGCAGGACTCTATATTCTGCCCCAAGGCACAGAGAGACGATCGGGTTCCGCAAAGCGATCGGTGGGAGTCCTCTACCATAGTTAATATGCCCGATCCCCACGGGCAGGACAACGAGCCCGTAACTCAGTGGTTGGGGCGCTGGACTTCTAACCAGAAGAACACGGGTCCGAGCCTCGGGTGCTGCAAGCCTGGGGTAGGGCATGGCTGGCTGGTGACGGCCAATAAGCCAGAAATAGCCATTCGAGGTCCGCAGACACTGCTTACGAGATGTGGCTGTCAACTGTGAAACTGATGTTTCGGCAACCATAGATGCTCCTCTGTCTACTTAATCTGGAGGAATACCTACTGGCCCAAATAAAACTACTATTCCCATCAGGAGTTGCATGTATGCGGTCAAACGAACTGGATACAAAACAATCCCGAGAAGGAGCAAACTGAGATGATGCAAACTGGCTGCTCCAGAAAGCACATAAATACCTTATTTTTCAATTTCCAATCGGCCCCGTGCTGAAGCAGAACTTTGGCAAGGTCCGCGTGGTTCCTGTGAAAGGCACAGTGAATCAATGGTGTTTGGCCGAATTTGTCCTGATGATTGACATTTGCTCCACATTCAAGCAATGCTGCCCCCACGCGAGGATTTCCATTGTTCGCCAAGCAAGCTATCAATGCACACCAAAGGGGGGCAATCACTCACCGACCACCAACAGCGACGGTCAGTTAGAGGGAATCCAGGGAATTACCTAGTCTGATAAGAGGTGTGTACTGGTTATCGTGGTCCACCTCGTCGATGCAAGCGCCAGCTCGAACCAGAGTTCGCACAACGTTGCTGAATTCGCCATCGACTGCATAGAAAAGAGCAGTCATTCCGTGGATATCCTAGAAACAAATGAAGGAGCAATGAGTTTCCTAGAGACGGTTAGAGCTGACTTGAATCTGTGTCATCACGCAGATACGGTTACGGCTGGACTGTTTTAACCCGAACCTCTGGGCATCCCAGAGTCAGACTTTGGGTCAGTCCCTTAGTGTGGTGCCTCACTTATCCTAACCATGCGTCAAACATTTTTTTCTCACAAAATTGGAAACATAATCGCTGAGAGCTATGTCCTAGTGTGCTTTACGTCGACCCACATCGGTTTCAGTGAATGCGTCAGAGTGGTTGGATGCGGATCCCGAAAGACCAACAGGCAGTTGGAGATTACTTCGGATGTATTAAATAACAAATCTCCGGAGATTTTGATCTGCGGCTACCCGGTAAATGCATAACAATGAGTGATCCATATGCATGCAAATAGATGTAGCGAAAAGTTATAACTTTTCGTAGTTTACAGCCTCATGACGTGTGGAGATTGTGGCAAACGTATGTTACTTTTTACAGAACTGCCGTCATTGGAGTACGGGGTGGCTGGGATAGCGGTAGTGAAGCAAAGTAACTGAAGGGCAGCAAAAATAACGGGTTTTCGTTAAAAGGCTGCTGCAACAAGGCAAATGACCCCGCTCGGACGCCATTTTTGAAATCTAACTCCGAGGGACAGAGTGGCAAGGCTGGTGCATGCTGGTTGGAGATCTAAGCCACATTGCAGATTAACCGTTTTCAACTATCGCTGCCTGGAGAGGCGCAGTTTAAACAGTATAATCACAAAAATTAGATGGCGATCCGCAGACGCGTATTTCGTAGAGTCACGGTCCCCCCAGTAGGCGAGTAGTTAGTCTGTAAGCCCTTCTCTGGCCTGCACACGCATCGCGAATTTCCGAAAAGTTTTGTGCCACGGTGAGTTGTTTGCTCGCGTATGAACAGACGATAACTATGCCACCAAAAGCGCTTTGGATAAGAAGAGTAAACCCCTACACTTTTCATCTTGAGAGGGAAAAGCTAACCAAACTTATTGGTCTGCCATTTCGTATTTCCTTTTAAACCAACCGCATGATATTCAAAGAACTTCGCCGCTCAGTACTGACCTTTGGTGCTGCCAACGAGCTCCAATGAAGGACCGAGGCTGCCATTACTGTCCGCTGACTTGTCATTCGTTCACTTCGTCCTCGGAAGTGGGTCTGAATTCTCTTTGGTCTGGTTGATCTATTTAGCCTTAAAGGCTCTGACTCTTATTACCTTCAGAGAATTCAGTCCTTACAAGGGTTTCGGCCACTGCAGGTTGCAACTCCGTAAGTTGCTTCCTTTCCCTCCAAGACTGTCAATCGTCTAAACCTATCAACTTTTTCTTAAACAAACATTTGGAATGCTTACTGTTTGTCCGTCCCCTCTTGTCCAATTTATAAAACATGGGAAAATACTGTGTTTGGCTGATCGCAAAAGACTACAATAAAATGTTTATACTCACGAAGACGGTGTCATCAAAAGTGACAACATTGCTCAAATTTCGGATCTCAAATGTCCACTAATTTTTGATGAAAACTTTTGAAACTGTCGGGGCTGACACCTCGAATATTTTACGCAGATTCGGTAGGTCAGTGGTCTGAATTCGACCCAGGGCATGACCTCTCTGACTGTGCGATTTTCCTAATCCCATAGTCTGCGCCATAAACGGCTGTTGCTTATTAAATTTGCAAGAACCCTCATTGTCTAGTAACGTCGGATGTACTTCACTTAGTCCTTTTTGTGGTTGTATTTTGCTAGTATTTGGTATGACTGTGATCATGCCGGATTCAACCGGCTTCGATGGTATCGCGGACTGTAGTTTCCCATGCGTGATGCTCTGCGATAGTGGATCTGGAGAGCTCTTCTCTAGTGACAGAGACCGAATATCGAAGGTCCAAGCACCACCTCCATACTTTGAAGGACAGTGGCAAACCAAGTTGAGTAGCCCTCTCCGAGGCTTTCAGGTGCTCAGTGGTTGTGGATCAAAAGAAGCAACAGTGAGCCCATGGGGCGGACGGTGAAGAACGTGTCCAAACCATCTCTGTCGTCCAACCCGAACGGTCTGAGATATCCTCATAATGCCTCAGCGAGCGTCAACTGTCTACTTTGAATCCAAGCCTGTTTTCTTCATTTGGCGGATAATTTTCTGGCAACGATGGTCAAACGCTTCCAATTTTCGTTCCTTTTCCAAGCCCACGGCTCAGCACTCAGCCGTTTTCGACACAGAATGTACCGCGTCCAAGTTGCCTTTTTCACAATTTCATTCTCCTCATCGTTATTTCTTCGGTAGCTCATTCGGTCATCCACATTCTCTTCTCCAATGAAATCGTAAAGGTTTCTCTTTTAGCTCTCCCTCACCCCAGAGCCCGGCCATCGATTGCGATTATACTCACCATGTGCGCCGAAGCATGTAAAGACTTTCACGTGGACTTATTTATAATAATAGCAGAACTGCACTGCGTCTCCCACACTACAGAGTCAAGGGGACCGGGCAGAGATGGGCGGCGCGGCATGGGCTTGCACTTAGACGCCCCACCACACCTCTGGTACGCGCATAAAGGACAAGAATATCACACAACAAGTAGAGGGGGCTGCTTGGATCCCAGCTGAGTGGGTTTACTTGTACTTGTACTTGATACGGCTGCGGTCATGCCTGATCTAGCCGGCCTCGATGATGTCAAGAACTGTACCTCTCCACGCGTGACGATCCGCGGCAGCAGATCTAGACAGCTCAACCCATTCCCTTCGCCAACGACGGAGACCGAATACCGAAGGTCCAAGAACCACCTCCATGTCTTGACGGACTGTGTCGAGCCAGGTTTTGAACTGACCCCCTCTTCGACGCCTCCAATGGGGCAATACTGCCGGATCGAGGGCAGTAACATTGAGCTCCTGAGGTGGACGACGAAGAACATGCCCGAACCACCTCAGTCGTCTTTCTTGGATGGCCTGAGTTATCCTTGCGATGTTGTCGCAGCGAGCGCCAACTGTCTCATTTGAGACGAAGTCGGTGAACTTCACTCGAAGGATGGTCCTCAGGCAGTGGTTGTCAGATACCTCCAGTTTTCGCTCGTCCTTCACGCGCAAAGCCCAGCATGCACAACCGTAAAGAAGGAAAGACCGGGCAGATGCACGATACACGCGAATCTTAGTGGCGATGGAGAGGTCACGTCGGATCCATAGACATTTCCGAAGGCTTGAGAAAACCCAGCGGGCAGCATCGATTCGGGAGATAATGTCGGCTTTTCTCTGTCCATTAGGCAGCAGCCTCGCACCGAGGTAGTTAAAACTGTCTACTTCTTCAAGATGACAACCATCGATCCCGAGGGGTGCCTTCGCCTGGTCTGGGATGCAGCTTGAAAGCACTTTGTTCTTCGCAGCGTTTATGGACAAACCGACCGATTTAGCGACCTCGTTCACCCGTGACACCATAGACTGCAGATCACCAAAACTTGGAGCAAGTAAGGCGATATCATCGGCATAGTCGAGATCAGTCAGTCGATGTCGGGGTGCAAACTCAACGCCGTCACTCTCGCGTAAGGTCCTCCCGAGGATCCATTCGATAGCATAGTTGAACAGTATGGGTGACAGGATACAACCCTGTCGGACGCCAGACCGAATACCGAACGGTTGGGAAAGATTATTGCGGACCGGGACTCTCGCAGTAGTGGAGCGATAGTAGGCCTTGATCATGGCGATGATTTTTGCCGGTACACCATCTAGCGCCATTATCCGCCACAGGGACTCACGGTGAAAGGAATCGAACGCGACGGCAAAGTCAACGAAGCAGACGGCCGTCGGTTGTTGGTAGCTATGGCGAAATTCGAGAATGCGCCTCAGTGTGAATATCTGATCTGCGCATCCACGTCCAGCACAAAATCCGGCTTGGTTGGGCCTCGTCCTTGAGTCACGCACAGCTTGGAATCGCCTGAGTAGGACAATAGCGAAGATCTTCGCAGCAACGTCGATAAGACTTATGCCGCGGTCGTTATCGCATCTCGTCTTATCTCCATTCTTGAGGATAGATACAGGGATGCCTAAGACCCAGTCATCAGGAACAACCTCGTCTCTCCACGCTCGTTCAATCACCTCATGGAGCCAGGGCGCCAGAGTGTCGACACAAGACTTGAAGATTTCAGCGGGTATACCATCCTCTCCAGGTGCCTTATTGTTGCGAACTTTCGTATGGCATCGGCGACTTCTCCTTCAGAGGGGGGATCGCATGGCACTGCATAGGTAGGAGAGGGAAGAAACTCCGCTGAGTGGGTGCCATAAAGGCCATATTAAGAGGGAGCCATCTCAGCCTGACTCTCAGTCCTCAATTATCCCTCCAGTTAGCAGCCTTCCAAGCCACCGCTTCTGATGCACTGTGATAGATTTAAGCGCGTCAGATTGCTTATAGTGAGGAATATGCGTTTTGACGGTCGATCTGACTTTACTCCCCTCCCCTCCCCACCCCGAGTCACCAGTTCACTGCCCGAGCTGGTCGATTGTCCGATGCGAGATGCTAAGATTGAGAGGGGTGACCGACAGAGCTGAAAACGGCCGTCTGGGTGTGCCATACACACCACCTGATCCTCCGCACAAAATAACAGGTCTCGCAAAGGGGCGTCGGAAGTTTGCTCCCGGTGGTGGTGATCGGCTTCTCAGTGGTTGCGACAGGAGTGACAGTGGAGGTTTTTGCGGAGACAGTAGGTGAAATTGTTGTATTGCCTCAGTATGGCATTGAAGTTGAGGGTTTCGGTCTGTTCCAGGACTCCCGTGTCCAAGACCCGGTCCCGCCACCTCAGTTTCATTACTCTCCGGAGGCAGCTGATGTGGATTTCATCGAGTTTTCTGACTTGATTGGTGTAGACGGTCTCTGTGTCAGTCATGTAGAGCAGTGTCGTCAGGACCATCGCCCTGTATATCTTGAGTTTGGTATTCAGGGGACCGCTCGGAGATTCCAGAGTGAGGTTTGTAGGTGGCCAAATGTCCGGGTGGCTTTAGAGGTCCAACTGGCCACTTCGTCACATTTCGCTGCCTAGATATGCAAATTTGTCTACAGTGGCGTGGGGTTTTCCGTGATTCATGGCTGACCCCGGTTAATGCATGACCATCGTCCTCCGTTTCGAGTGTTAGTCCAAAGTTGGCACAGCCGGAGGCGAAAATACCTAGGCTCCTTCGCATGGCCGCTTTCGTCGTTGTATTGAGTGCACAGTCATCTGCTAACGGTAGGTTGTGGATGCTGGTCTGGGGTACTCCTGAGCCTGCTTGAATGCGCCGTGCATTGAACAGCTGTCCATCGAGCCAGTAGGTGACCTTGATTTCTGGTCGTCCCTCAAAGTAGGCGTTCAGCAGCGTGGTGGGAAGCATGAGGCTGAAGAGGGTGGGACGGAGTACACAACTCTGCCTCACCCTACAAATGCTAGGGATACACATAAGCCCTCCAGATGAACCCTTCTTACACATCCGCCTTGCGTAGATCGCATGCGTTTTGCTCACACCGTGTCTACCAGCGGTCTGTAAAAGTTGCTTTTTCGTGGCTCGCTATCGTCAGGACACCTGTGGTGAATCTGTGTTTGCGTATAGGTTGGCGTTTTATGAGGGGAATAGGGATCGGTCCCGTGATCAGCGGAGCAGAACATGTCAGTTAATACCTGCATATGTCGCAAATTATCCAAAGCGTCCTTCAGCTGCTGTTGTTTTCAGTGCGTAATGCATTATATCAAGTGATGCGTTCTAGCAACAATAATAAGTTGAGATCAAAAAGGTTTGCTCATAGTTACTAAATACTCCTTTTTCACCTGTCACATTATGAGAGACTGCTTAACTGCTAAAGACGCTTGCTTTTCGACTTGTTTAAATTGCTACCAAAATCTACATCCTTGACTCCCGACGTAGTTTAGAGACTTTTGAGGTTTTGTTTCATTCCCCTGGATCACGGTAATATTATGAAGTCTTAAAAATCAGAACGTTGGATGAGACTTTCTCGTAACCCAGCACGGCTGCCGGTTTGATGAAGCGTACTCAGGATTATGGGCCCTTTTCGGTTCCTCTGCCATCAATTAGGTGTCGTTGCTGAGACCAGTACGAACTAGAGGGGTAGCGCATGCATTCAGAAGGGCTACTAAATCCTGCAAGATCAAAGAACCACGTGTCTTGCCTAGAATACGTTTTAAGGATCGGTACCAGTGAAGACTATGCCAACCACAAGAACAGCAAAATCTATATAGACGCATGCTCTAAAAACCTATAATAAACGCTCGACACATATTTGCTAGAAGAAATAAACTTTATGAGTACTTACTTTAGCATCGACAGAAGCGCCTCGTTTCACGAGAATATCCACAACATCGATAAAACCCTTGTTGGCCGCCAGCATGAGGGCAGTCTTGCCCAGTTTGTTAGCTGCGTTCACATTGGCCTGGGCATTCAGTAGAATGTTTATAATGCTAAAAAATCGGACAAATTGAGACAATTTCACGTTTGTTTAATTTTAAGGGGTTATTACAGACCTTATCGGGCCCCTAAAACAGGCCACATCGAATTCTAATAGGCATTATCCGGAATGCGTACCCATAACAACTGCCGGTAACGGTATAGAGAGGGACCCCACTTAACTGCCAGGAGACTGTGGATCGCGCCATACGTGATTTATGGTAAAGCGAGTTAGTTTGTAGTTATAGTAGACTTGTGCAGCATCTACCGCACTCTGGCCTCCTCTCCTGTCCAGAAACAATGTCGAGACCGGAGGCGAGGGAGGGTGCAGGTGACTGGCACGGTCGGGCCCGCACCTGACAGTTCGACCGTCGTTGCCGACGATGTCCACCATGTGCTCCACAGCATGGTGAAGAAGGGCCGGTGACTTTTGCGTGAATTAGTTTATAGTAAATGTAGACTTGCACGGCACGCACCACACTCTCTCCTCCACCCCTGCCTGGACCCGGTGTCAAGACGGAGTCAAGAAGACCGGTGGCGGGGTGAGGGCTCAGCTGGACGGCACGATTGAGCCTGCACCTTGGTGCTCCACTCCACACCCACTGGTCTTCACATCACCTAAGCGCACCACCACACTCCTGGTCCGCAAAAAAACTTGACCAGGATTTTAAACAACAACAACATTAACAATGGGGGGCGGCAGGGATTCAAATGTGCGCGGCGTGAGCCTGCAACTAGGCCTGCCACCACACTCCGAGCATTGGCTTTTGTTATAGGTGCGCATTCCCGATAACGCCTATCAGAGTCCGATGTGGCCCCCATATTGAAGATGAGACAATGCATCACACGCGGGCGGTGAGGCATGTCGACCAGTAATCAACAATCTAGAAGCGTTATCGACAAAGACAGGGTATACCGGACAGCTTGCGTAGGCTCTAGCCCGGGACCTTTGATACAAAACGAGGTCGCCCACATTCTGTCCCGCTACCCGGACATATTGGCGCACGTCGTTCCCGTGTAGTCCACAGGCGCGTTTACTTCATTTACAGCGTCATTTTGGCTATTCATTCAGGAATCCCCTGACCGCCTTCGTTCATCGTAGACTACATCCGCAACTGTGTTTATATAAAAGTGAAACGCTATTCTTTTCTTAACAACTGCATATAAAAGTACGTGTTGCTGAAAGTCTCAATTTAAAAGCATTGCACCCTTTTTGTACAGAAGTTCCTAGCAGTATGGTTTTCAGGACGTAACTGTCTCATCCACATATTTCCAAGACTCGAGAGTAACTTGTCAAGCAGCTTCTCTGACAACTTTCCTCAAAATTCAGCACAGTTCCCGATTTTCGTAGCAAAAGGATAGGGTGGGTAGTAAATGTCTTTAAGAAAGAATTTAAATAGGTCCATTAAATTGCTGCTGGAAATGCGTTTAGGAGTGTACAGGTGAGTTTACTACGAATAAATCAATATTAACGTTAACTTGAGACTAGTCAATAACTTACGTTTTACTGTTTCTGCTGACAGCAGCCATAAGCGGAGTATAATCCATCTGATCCGTAGCCTCGACTTTGGCAGTACTGAAAGGCGAACATGTTTGTAAGACTAGGTGCGGAGTGAGAGTTCATGCTACATGTGACAGGAAGCAGTCAGTTAGTCTGCTGAAGCGTCTATCCACGGAATAAATTACGATGACGAGAAAATTGTTGATGGGACAGATATTCAGCCCTCCCACAGTGTGTTTCCTTCATGTTGGTGTGTAGCACACGGTGGACATCGTCGGAATCGACGATCGAATTGTCGTAAAACCAAATCACCCTTGAAACCTAAAGGACTGCTGGATAGGGCACGACAATAGGAACCCTCCCGTAGTACAGGTAGCCTTGAGCTAAATTCCAGGAAGGGTGCCTATTCCCGTGTCCTGGCCAAAGCACTAACCCTAACCAATAAGTGAACCTTAATCCTAATCTTCCCGGATCCTATTGTAAGGCCACCTGTATTGTGAGGAGTTTCTATTCCAGGGTCCCACCAACTGATGGTGAAATTTCGCAAACTGGGAGAGTGGCTCTCGTTCATTGGAAATGGCCGAAACTGACAGATTGTACGTCTCGAGTACCTTATTAACCTTTTTCAAAAATCTCAAGTCTATTTGGTCCCCCGATTAAGCCGGCCTATATGCGCAAGTTAATGACTGATTTCGTGAATTAGAGCATCAGCATTTCATTCATGAATTGTGTTCATTTGAAATTTTAAAAAATACGACACAAGAAGAGGAATGCGTATTTGCACTAATAATTAGCACCTTACCTTGTGCTTAAAATCCTCTGTATAGCCTCTATGTCCTCGAATTTTATGGCCTTATGCAAATCAAAGGCGGTATCCGGTTCGGGCGGAGTCTCAAAGGCTTCGACGCTGCCGAAGGGGCCAAAATCTTTGTCCCACTTCAGTCGCAAACGCAACTCATATTCCGTTCCCGGCTCTAGCTCCTGGTACAGGCAATAAGTTCCGTTGCCACTACAATACAAGCAATTTAACAAACAGGAGGAAGACACCCTACAAGTAGATCTGGTCCCACTTGTTGCTATCTTTTTTCCTCAATGTGACTTCCATGAAGCAGATTACGCTCTCCTCAGCAAGCTCCTCAAGACACTCAAACCATTCTACTTTGACTGAATGAAAATCTGGAATTGAGATGAAGGGGAAGGGTGGATAGAGGTCCTCCACGCGCATGACCCATGCGGAATGAGCGTACGGATTATCGATTTTGTTTCAAATGGTGAGGCTCATGAGGTAGCACACATGAAAAGGACGTGTTTTTAGATTTTTCCACAACTGCTATCATTACAAAATGAGTGTTCTAAAAGGAGTTGTCTGAATTGCCATCTAGAGTGCAGCTGTCCTTAAATTGACGAAATCTATGACAGATTGACCTGGTAATTTTGAGGTCGGGCATCTATGTCTTCGAGTAGCATTTGTCATTTTTGATCTTAAAAGGTCATTGCAGTCAAATAAAGAAACATTGTCAACACCAAATAACTGCAGATGGATACCTGTCCTGATGGATATGGGAATAGGTACCCCCAGTATTACAGGCCGTGTTGTGCTAAAGTCCAGGGGCAATACTTATTCCCGTGTCCCAAGCTCAAGTCCAACTCCCTTGTTATTTAGCGCAAAGACATCTGTAGTACGGGAGCACCTGTTCCCATGTCCCACCACCTGCCGCAGCGATGAGTTAGGCTGATGCCGCCAAAGGTCCCATCTTCGAAACATTTAGGGGCGACTACCAGCGGTTCTAGTTTGTGCAGCTCCAACTAAAATAATATCGCACTGACAGGGTCAGTGACCAGGCATGATTCAATTTCTAGCTCATACTCTATAAAGCTGGCACTCTCCCGGTGTTTGAAGAAGGGCATTTATGGAATTCTTCAGCAGCCGCCGGGTTAGCCCAGAAATTTAGTCGAACATTTGACAATTTACTTGGTTCCCGCGAAGGTGGCACGGGTGATTGGGCACCTTACGCTCCTTTTGTAGGCTTTCGACCATAATTACTACAGGCGTTTCAATAGCGCTCTGAACAGCACAGTCTTATTCGATCCCCAGAGCTTGGCGTCAAAAAGAATGAACGAATGTTATGTAGCGGCCCAGAGCTCGACGCACCAACCATGTCGCCCCCGGCTGTGACGCGCGCCAGGGAGCTACCACGTTGCAGGCCAGTCTTGCCCGCCAAACCCGTGCGTGAGTCAGCAATCAGCACGCCGCCGGGTCATGCGCGAGCTTCCGGCACCAGCAACCGACGAGCACAACCAATGGGAACACAGGAATCAGACAAGGACGTGCCTCCCTGATACGACGCCGTGGCCAGAAGAGTTGCGAGTTGGTGTACCCACAGTGGCTGTCGCAGTAGAAGTGTTCTGTGCTGTTCTGTCGTCTGCTATATTACGTAATGACCAGCGACATACTACCGGGGGATATGACAATAATGGAACAGGACGTAATGTGCGACTCTGATTTCAAACAACAGGGGAAACGCAAGTGTAAACACGGGAGGATAAATGATTTTCGTCGGTAAATACGTCCATGACGAGGGAAACAGACGTGAAAAAGTCTTCCTCATCTTTTTGATCTCGACTTTATGCACAACTACTAAAGTGCCTTCGGTGAGACGTCAATGAGGTCATAGCAACATAAGCAATTGACAATCTACTCAGTCAGATGATGCTGGTAAAAAGGTCCGCCCCAAAAGTTCCAATTAAAGTCAGCGTTGCGTGTCGTACAGGAAGCCAAGTCGGATTGAAACTTGAGAGAATTCGCACGATCTATAGCGGATTCTAGCCACTACGACCTTCATGCTCAGCCCCGAATTGGAAGGGAATGCGGACACAAGTAGAGAGGGCGTTGTATTGTGTACAAGATGAATGGATACTAGGTTGAAACAATTTGGTACCCGGACAATAGGCGCAGGTCCGACGCTGCAGAGCTGGCGGTCGAGTGCCACAGGGGGTGGGTGTTAGAGCATCTTGAGTGAGGGCGTCCGAGTAGACTTTAGTTGATCGGCCGGTCAGGATAACTGTGAGTGACCGAGGACGAGTCTGCCACGGGCACGTGTGGGAGGTGCAGTGTTGCATCAGGTACCCCGAATAGGATCACTGAAGTCAGTCGTCCCGGTTAACAGTAAGAAACTGGAGACAATCAACTTTGCTTGGTCGTTATGCGGATCTAATTTTTTTCCATTTAATAATCCAGATAGATCGGCGAAGACCACTACTGATCTCAGCCGACGAGACATGAGCTCGAGGTACGGGCTGTAGTATTTGACTTAAATGTCTGACGCTAGACGGATTCGTATCTAAATACTGGATCTTTACGGCCCTTCTTACGTTTATGACTGGCTAATGATTCCCACTGTCGCTGTAGTCCCCCTTACATTCTTTGGCAACATCACTCTGTCGTTCCTGCCCGCTTCTGTCTGTTTTTGAAGCAGGTGCTCTCCTCCCCTCCCCCTGATTTAGTTCTCTTTTTAGGCAGCTCTCCACCTATACCGCACGCCTAGTTTTGAACGTCTTTTAAGTCGCAATTACCATAAAAAAGTTTGATTTGACTGCTGTCTAACCCATCGGAGCATCTTGATGGTCATTAAAGGCAACTTCATCTTCAGTGGGGGACGTTCGTCGCTCCATGCTTGATCATGTTCACCCTACAGTCGATGACCTTAATTTGTGTGCAGTCTTGCGACCGAAAACGATCTTGGGTTCGTCAAATTTGGTTGTCATGTCGAATTTAGGCTAATTACCTATAATTATGGTACGTTTTCGTCAAGTGTGGCTCTCAAGGTTTTGAGGTAAATCTACAAGCTAGATGACGGTCCAGCAGCCGCAAACGACGAGATCTACCATGGCCCCATGGCTTGCAGTCCGACCCTCGGTCCCGTGTAGGATCAAACCAGGCTCCAAGAAAAGGCAGGAATCCAGAGTCTCCAAGAACCAAAAATGTTGCATAGACAACACTGCACTCCGACCCTCAATGCTGAGTATGGTCGCTTTATTGCGTCAGTTGACAGGCTTCAAAGCTCTGATTTTTAGTCCGTTCGGACGGTTTGAAAGTTCATTCGTTCATTGACAGTGGAGAAACTAAACGCTGGATGCCAGTTAGATCAACTTCACTCTCTTCTCTTTTCCATTTACCAAAAGCCTGTCCGAATCGGGCCTACTTAGTGTGAGTGTGAGTACACTGGCCGTCACCCAAAGCTTGTCTCACACGGACTCCGATTTCACACATGTATGCGCTGCCATAAGAGGGAAGCAAAGACGGCGTTACTGCAGTTGACCCACGCTGCAGAGGAGGACCAAGTTATCTCAGCAGCTGGCAACTTTCCAACAACAGTCAGCAGGTCTTAGTAGTCCCAGGTACATCTGATTTGTGCCAGGGAGAAATGTGCTTAGTTCCCGTTAGGAAGGATTCCTCAATACTAGCCTCACCCGTCCTTTACTTTCTGGTGAAAAGTGGTCTGCATTAGACCGTGGAACAACGGGTTATGAGATTGAAGAAAGTAGCTGACGTGGTGACTGTCTCCACTTTAAGAAGTATGTCACATTGCCGCAAGGCAAGAGTTAGGGACTCGTGCGGATTCAACGCCGCGAGAGTGGCGCGTAGCATGAGCGACTGTTGTCGTTTTTGGTGTAATACAACAATACAGCAGTCCGCTTGGGCGATTATACGCAGACATTCAGTAAAATGTGGAATATCTGATTTGTGGTAGAACTAATGTATCAAAACAGAGGAATTCCTTAATAAGGGGTAACCGAGGAGCCTACATGACTTTATGATACCAATGCCCTTTCTTTAGTTCTGCGTGAAAAGAAGTGGAACCGAATCCTGCTTTCAAACCCCTGCAGTGGATTGGAACTATCAAGGAGCTATTCACGTACCGAGAAAGATGGATATGCCTGTATATTAAACCGTAAGTTTTCTCTGAATAAGGAAGAAGCATGGTTGACGGTGACAGCTTTTCTCATCACTGCCGTTCCGTGTTTGACTCTTTATCCTCAAGACGATCTTTCCACCATCCTAACGTCGCTGCTGTGTTTGTAACTCTGCCATATCCGATAACGGACCCTAAATACGTCTTGTGGTGACGGTGTGTCTCTGGCCTTGTTATTTAAAGTTTGGTGATATCGTTAAGAAATTTCCAACGCCGGAGTGGAGTGCTGTACGATGGCGGCTGACGGTCTAAGAAACCTCCTCCCCCCATGTACAGAGGCGTTCCCGAAGATTGTCCCATTTGTTGCGTTATCTTATCTTCTCTTTGCCCACTGTTCCAAGAAAATGTGAACACCTCTCTAAAGTACTGCAAACTGACAACTGGGGTTTCATTCTACCGAACACTTGCTTTTAGATTATCAATTTTCGCGGTTTAGGAGAACATACTGGTCATTTTGGCTTCCCTCCATCGTTCAATATTATGAGTACCGAAAGTAATGTCGTTTTTGTGGTCTTACTTTGAATGTAATTTATTAGGCGTTTATGTCTGCTCCACTTGAACCATATGTCTTTGGAGATCAGTTAAGTCTAGTTTGTTAGGCTGATGTATTTTTTTTTTGTTTTTTTTAGACTGATCCTAACAGAATTGGAGACGTAGAATCCTCGGAGATCAGGTTTGTCAGTGTATGCTGTGTGGGTTTCGCAAGAGCAAGAACGCAACAACAGCCCCCACAAAATCTTAGGTGTTTATCCGCAAGTGCCAGCGCTTATTCACGACATTCCGATAGTGCAATTCGGACATTTTCAATGCCCATCGCTGGGGAAGACCAGTGGGGCTGGATGATGACACTTTGTACGCAACAGTTGAGGTAGATCCTCGTCAGACCTTGGAGGAGTTAATGGTGCCCCTACTTTGAAAACCTCGCCACCCTGGTGGGATTCTAACCCACTACAGCAAGTGGAGGCTTTAGTACAGCCAACGCCCTAGCCATCCGATCTACGAGGCCCCATCGGAAGACGTAAGTTTAGTAACATTTGGGTCAAGTTACCCGCCCAGCCTACTGCAGCGTCTGGAATCCACCAAATGTGATACAATATGCTGACTGCATAAGCAGGATTTCCTAAGTAATCCACCTAGAATCCACCAGATGACTACCAGGCTCATGTAATTCATGGATGTTTTGGAAGATTTTGAATAAATCATGTGAATTACTTAGGAAATCCTGCTTGGGCGGTCCGCATACTGTATCGGATTTGGTGGATTCCAGACGCTGCAGTAGGCTGGGCAGGTAAATTGACTCAAATGTGACTAAATTTACGTCGGCAAGGATCGGGTGGAGAACCCCAAAGCATCTGTGGCATACAAAGAATACCTACCAGAATTATTTAAGTGGGTTTAAGACCGACATGATGATTTCGGCTTGGTGTTTCATCGTACAATGTTTGTTTGTTTGCTGTAGACGGTCTGGTGCATTATCTACAATGATCTCAGCTCAGAGAGTTCAGAAGCGATCGTTGTAGACACTTAATGCTTATTTTTTAATTGTCCTGCTTAATTTCGATTACTATATGTCTATGCATTGAAACTTTTCAGCCCGAAAAAACGGACCTACCAATTATCTATACGTATTTTGCCATTCCTCTATGCATACATAGGCCCCGCCCGTAAAATCCCTAGTACCACCTTTCCCGTAAGACAGGAACCTTTGGCTGGTTGTGTGTGTGTGTGTGTGTGTGTGTGTGTGTGTGTGTGTGTGTGTGTGTGTGTGTGTGTGTGTGTGTGTGTGTGTGTGTGTGTGTGTGTGTGTGTATTAACACGCAGAAGACGGTGGTGATGATTAACACGCAGAAGACGGTGGTGATGCATCAGCCGCCGCACAACTCAGCCACAGCCCCCAACGCGCCGCCGCAAATCAGCGTGAACGGAAATCAACTGCAAGTGGTAGAGAACCTCCCGTATCTGGGCAGTACCCTCTCCCACAACACCAAGATTGATGACGAAGTCGCCAGCAGGATCTCGAAAGCCAGTCAAGCCTTCGGTCGTCTCCGAAACACAGTTTGGAACCGCCACGGTCTCCAACTGAGCACGAAGCTGAAGATGTACAAGGCCGTCATCCCTGCCGACGTTACTGTACGGAGCAGAGACATGGACGGTGTACACGAGACAGGCACGCCGACTGAACCACTTCCACCTCAGTTGTCTCCGTCGCATCCTGAGGCTGAACTGGCAGGATCGAATCCCCGACACGGAAGTACTGGAACGAACGGGAATCCTCAGCATCTACGCCATACTGAGACAAATGCAGCTGCGCTGGAGCGGCCACCTGGTGCGCATGGACGACGAGCGACTACCCAAACGACTCTTCTACGGAGACGTCGCGACGGGTTCTCGTCGTCAAGGAGGCCAAATTCGCCGTTACAAGGATACTCTGAAGTCCTCCCTGAAGCGCCTGCAAATCAACCCGACCAACTGGGAAGAGCTCGCTCGCGATCGTCCGACATGGAGGAGAACAGTGAAGACGGGCGCTGCTATCTATGAAGCCAACCGAATCGCCGCCGCCAAAGCGAAACGCGAAGCCCGCAAATCACAACTTCGCCCAGTCCGCAACGCCGCCGCACAACCTCTCCCAACGTGTCCTCGATGTCAACGGACATTCCGGGCACGAATCGGACTTGTTGGACATCTCCGAACCAACTGCACNAGTCAAAACGACCGGCTGTGGACGAGCACGCAATGAACGACCAAACTATGCGGTCCGTATATGCGTGCCACATACGACGCTGTCCCTGACTCCCATCGTCTCAGGCTTCATCCAGGTGGGTCTAGGACCTCTTTCAGATGCGACTCCTTGAGAGCCCACATTAGAGGTCAGCGCAAACTGACTCTCAGTCCTGGGCGGGCAACCTTCCAAGTCGCGACTGTTATTGCATCGTAATAATTTTAAAGCATTTTTAGTTGAGTGCCAGATCCATCTCATCCTCACTTCCCTCATCCATGCAGCCGGGAGCTGTCGTAGTCGAGATGACTGAGAATGAGATTGGGTGCAGGGTTGAAATGCCACACAGGCTCGAATCTCACGGAGGTTAGGAGTGCAATGAGTGCCACAATAAGGAGGACCGAGTTACCCCATCATATGGCAGCTTCTTGTATCCCGACAGATAACTCGTCTGAATATGTTCAAGTGTGTTAGATTTAGTATAGTGAGAAAGGATTCCCTGGGATCAACGCAGTCCTTCCTCCCTCATCCATTCACCACTGGCGTGTCTGTCTCTGTCGGTCGGCTGATTATCACAGTGGCTGACGTGGAGTCAGCCTCTATCTGACGCGTTTCACACTCGTGTACTGCGGTAGTTTAGCCCTCACAAAGACTCAATGACACGAAAGCTGTCATCTCGTTCTGATCTAGCTCAACAGAAGCGTATCCTACTTGTGTTTCGTATGTTGACCTAGAGAATCAGAAGCCGGGGGGATTGGGTCAAATACAAAGTTTGCAGTCCAAAAGCTGGACAAATTAAGGTCAGGTAGAGAAGTGTAAGAGCTGGGCCGTGACGCCCATGCAGGTGTGCGCCTGCGTCCGTATGGTGCGGGTTTAAGCCCAAAGTTTGAATTGAAAATTATTGAGAAATTGATTGATCGATTGATTTGACTCGCCGCAACATGGACGCTTACGCATGGCCGGCTCGAGTGGTTGAGGCCTCTGTGCTTTACTGCAACGACAGTTTATGTAGCAACATGGTTGACAAGTGACGTAGATCCTATAGGAATGAAAGTCCAACTCGTGTTAGCAGAACGCAAATTGTCACTTCAGTTTTTGAAGCTACTTGGTACTTCAAACGAGCCCCCGCTTGTCTTGCAGCTAGTCCCAATTATTATCCTTGTTTCGTGATGCCCAGTTTATGGTTTACCTCCAGGTTGCTAGTAGCGATTTGAGACAACCTGTCAGTCCTCCATACCGTCAGTTCGTAGATGCACACTCCCGCAGTCCGTACTCTATCTGACCTCGCCAACTGCACGGGAAATTGCAGCACGGAATTTTACAAGCGACACCAGATCTTACAACTTGTCTAAGTGATTTATATCTGATGGGTGGTATCGACGCCCAACTCGGTGATAATACGTTCTGTTATCTCAGAGGTATTTGTTATACATGTGGGTTAGTCCGTATGGGGTGTAGGGGTGTCAGCGGTGGGTCCACGTGATGGTCGCAGTGGTCGCTCACTTGCTTGCAGGTGAGACTACGCCTAGCGTCCATTTGCTGGCACCTAACTCTCACCTGTGGCTCCACGTAGCTGGGCTCTGCTCAGCGGCCACACCCCGGGCAACCGCCTCGACCGGCGGGCTAAACCAGGTGAGGGTATCCGTGCGTGCACCTGCACGCGCGGTACTGTGGTCTGCGCTGGCCGGATGGATCTTCGCGTCGACATCGTCGAGACGAGGCTCTGCCTGGACCATCGCAGGAGGCCACCAGGTAAGTTCCCCCTCAGGTAAGTGCGCTTGCTTTGTTTCTTCCTTTTGTCTGTTGAAGTTCCTCGTCGTACGCTGCGCTTGCTGCCTGCCCTTCATATGCTAGTCTGTCTGTCAATAGCTAAACGACACCCTCGATGCCTGCTGCGATTGTCTGTCCGTCAGTCTATGCCACTCTCTTCTAGCTAGGTGTTACGGTGCCTGACTTTGTGTGGTGCCCTCACTTTGTCTCTGACTGGTGACTGTGTCCGCTTGTGCACTCTAATTCTAAGTCCCATAGCGTTAGGTAGTGTATATGCTCTCTCCTACTTCACTCCATCACGTCATCACCTCACCACCAAGGTCCCAGGCTAATTCGGGTCGTTCTCTCACTAACAAAAGTCGT